TTCTTTCGAAACAATACATTTTCCTCAAGCTAGTTGTCCGACTAATCGGTAATGCCCCAGAATTTATTAGGAGAAAACAGTGTATTTGGCGTTATTTGTGAGCTTTATAAGATGATACATTATTATTAATTCCATATATGATCAGTGTTTCCAAGCATTTTTAGCGTTGATAGCATAAATATTTCTGTTCAAGTCACGTCATTTTCTTTAACTTTATTTATTTATTTGGCTAAAACCTAAAATCACTTGCACTGAAATCCGATTCACCGATATAAAACTCATCAATGTAGATATGTATCAATTTATAAACACTGTATTGTGACATCAAAAGTGTATAGAAATATGTTGTCGTTAGTAGGGTAAATGTGCTAGTAGTTGGTTACTTCAACCTACGTGTGATTAATGTTAATATATTATTTTCTAAACATTTAGAGGCCGTCTATTAGTTTTGCTTATATTTTCAATAGTGATAGTCGGCCCTACCGAAAAAACGTACACATAACCGCTTAATACTATTCTAACCTCAAAAACCCTTCATTTGAATATTACTAATTGCGTATTTAAATTATTAATATTTAAAACTTACGTTTATTGATGATAGACACTATTTTAGATCCCTGCTTCTATTACTAAATTCATTAAAATTTCGTCACGCGTTATTAACTAGCTCATCGCCCTTAGAACAAGAGTCTTTGTAGTTCACAATATTACCACAAGGGGCATGAAACTATAATACTGAAAGTAGAGGTGTCGATTGACCGCTAGCATATTTTATTTTATGCGATTTTGTTATTACTTTTTAATTATCAGACATTTATTTTGGAAAAGGCTGACTACTAACTAAGAACCGACTACCGGCACATTTATCCTATTAGGAAAATGTATTCGACATTTCTTGTAATATCAATGTAATTCATCATATGAAGTAGTTGTTTAGAAAAGTCTAATACCAGAGTATCAATTTCAGTTCAATTCAATTGCGTGCCTGATCACTGTACTAATTATTATGTAAAATTGATAAAACGATTCCAGCTATTCTTTCAGTTGCCTTCTGCTGATTTGAGTTGGTGGCCTCATTGAATAGGATCCCTCCTTCAGAATCCTGGAAACAGAGGCCCCTTTGAAGCTGGCTGCAGGCGTGTTCATCGTGCGTGCACGGCGCAAATAGCTACATCCGTGCGCCACGTGCCGTGCATCTTATCCACAGACAGAGAGAGAAAGAGTAATAATCGGTCTTTGCGAAACAACGCACTCGAGCTCCGATCCCCTGTTTTCTCCGTCGCTCGTGCTGGCTGATCCGCATGAATAAGTAGCTTGACGACAGACTCGGCAGGGAGGAAGAAACATTTAACGAAATGCTCTAGACGACGCATCGGCCGATTGTTATTGGCCGGATGAAGGTAATTTCAAGGTTCGAGAATACTCCGTAGGCCAAAGCAAAAGCAGACAGTCGTACTGTCCCGGAACTTTGGAAAAATATCGTCTAAAGTAAAGTAATTAATCGAAGCTAATAGCTCTGCCAAATTTCTATTTTTACGAACCCCTAGAACGGTTCATCGAACGTCTTTATTTAGCAGTGTACACGCGCGCTTTTAAAACCAACGAGGAGATGCTACTGCTAGTTGGTCGTCGATTTTAGTGAAACTTTTTCTGGTGATTTTGGACCAAAAATAAGTAGACACATATCCAAGCATTTTTGCCAATGCTCGTTATTTATACAAATATTTAACGTTTAATTTTTTTAATGTCTATGTACATTAATTTCTTGAATCAATTTCGAGGAACAGAATTAGCTTCGTAACGCCAACGTTTCCGCTTAAATAAACATTTTTCTCATTGTTATCTTTTTTTGTTATTGTATATTTATTTTCTGCCTATTTATTTCTTTTATTCTACTTTCCTTTTTTAAAACAACACATTTTTGTAATATTACTAATTTTTTTCTTAACAAATTGTATTAATACAAAGTTTAATTTTGATGTAAAACCAATACAAATACGTTATATACATACAAGATACATCTGTTTATAAAGGTATAAAAACATTTGTTAATTAAACATCGCTTACAATTAATTGTTTTTTCTGCGAATACAAAGCTTGGGCTTATACAATGTATCTCAAAATCAAGAGGAACATTTTCGACAATGAAAATATTTCTTTTATTAGATTTTGATATAATAATAATAATATTTTGGTATTTCTCTATTAAAGAGATGGTAGTATATTCATGGTATCCAACAAAGTTAATAACAAACACATCAGTTTTTTACAGAAAAAACTGTATACGTAATAAATTAGCATTTATTATACATTCACGCTGTCAAAAACACGCTGTTTACGTTTCGTCTGTTTTTATGATACATACCATCCCAAGCTTTGTATTCCAACAGAAAACAATAACAATCTGTCTATTATGTATACAGGGTATTCGGCCACCCCTGGGAAAAATTTTAATGAAGGGTTCTAGAGGCCAAAATAAGACGAAAATCAAGAATACCAATTTGTTGATGGAGGCTTTGTTAAAAAGTTATTAACGTTTAAAGTTCCACTCGTATTAAATTTTTTTTCTCGAAAATGCGCAAGATTTCGGGGGTATGTCTATTCACCAAAAATGATTGTAATTGATCCCCGCAACCGAAAATAATTTTTCCAGAACGATTTGAAATTTTGGAATTTAATTGTTAATAACTTTGTAACGAAGCCTCCATCAACAAATTGGTATTTTTGATTTTCGTCTTATTTTGGCCTCTAGAATCCCCCATTAAAATGTTTCCCAGGGGTGGCCGAACACTCTGTATAATGCGTATTTGTTTAGAGACTTGAACTCTGCATCCTACAGTCAATAAGCGGCTGATATACATACGATCATAGCTAATTCTATTAATCAAAGATAATTCGAGAAACTAATATACATGAACATTAAAAAAAATTGAGGCCTCGTGGATTTCCATAGAAATCTGTGTGTTTTATGACTGTTGTATTCAAATTAAAATAATACATAATAATACATGCATGTACAGGGTGAGGCCTTTAACGCGACGTAACATTTTTCATCCCTTTATAGTCCTTTGACAAAAACTTTGTTACAAAAACTGAACAATGTGAGGCGTACAATAGATGTCGATAAAAAAATTTTGTTTTCTCGGTAAAATCAAGATTACCTTTCATAAATAGGGTCGCTTATTTTTGTACCATATTGTGAAGAACATCAAAGCGAATTTAAAGCACATAATACACAATATTTTTATTAACATACCGACTCGATTTACAGTACTGGAAATGAGAAACATTTAGTTTTTCGTCGTATTTGCACGCTCTGTTCGAATTGTAGGCGGTGCAACATGTGCACCGAATGTGAATATATTTAGATGCACATGTGCGTACAGTTGCAGCAGAAAGTGCAAAAGATAGGAAGTTTTGCGTGCAGACAAAGAAACTTTGGTTTCGTGACAAGTTCACGCGTTGTACTCGTCTTAAAATGTTAAGTAAATGCCATTATGCGTTTCGCAAGTGCTAAAGAATAAATGACAAAGCAATTTAGTAATCGGTACAGAAAAATTATACGTCGACGCTTATCAATATTAGAACTATCATGAAATGTATTGTATACTACTCGTAAAAATTTATTCTTTAACACGTTGAATATCAGGCAATGGCCCGTGTCATTCTAGGTGTATCTTCAAAGAATTTAACTTTTCAAAATAATAAAAGAAAGAAAGGAAACAAAAGTAACTCGACAGGGATTCGAACCCATTATCAAAAGATTCGCAGATAATTGCTCTACCAACTTAACCAAATTCCGTTCTCTCAAGTAAAAATTGATTCTTTTACTACATTTATACCAAACTTTAAATCAAAATATCTCGAAAACGAAGGCTTATTATGAAGAAACCTATTAGAGAGTTTATATACTAGGTATAGTATACTATAACTTGGACCTGCTATCGTTTCAAAAACAACGCCCACGACTGTAAGGTCCACTTGTTAGTAAGCCTCGGAGAGTCAATCTCAGACGAAATCCTAAACACAATATAATTAAATTCAATACTATCGTCGTTTGACATGCTCAATGATTTCGTTTAAGGTCTTTCGATCAGCTTCCCAAAAACGATCGATCCAACGCAAAAAGAAAGTTCGTTAAAACAGTTGCCAGAGCGACTGAAAGCTCCCTTTCTGAATACCGAAAACTTCCTAATCCTACACTATGAAAACCGACGGTGTGGACCTGGAAGAATGGCTGCCGTCCCCATAGAAATCGGCTCTGCGAAGCCCTGATTTTACATACTTCGAGGAAACCTTTCGAGATTATCCCCATGGTAACGAGGATTGCTCGGTGGTAGACTGGCTAGGGTACTTTTCAACGAGCTAACTCCTTCTTCCTCTTTTCTCCTCATGATTGTCTGTCTGTTTTCAGCCTTCGTGCCACCGAGATTGTCTCTCTCGTTTTCGTTTTCCTTTTTTTTTAACACGCACATCGACCCTCGACACGAGTACTTTGCCCCTCGCCACCTTCCTCTGGTCCTCCCGCGCTATATTATTCACTATTCATCTGTCCGTGAACTCTCCGCCACTAGAGAAGGCCTTTTGTCTCGCGCTATCGAACGGCTGCTTTGGATTACGCCAACCAACGTCTATGTATGACTTTTTCTGTACCTTGTCTCCTTTCGTGTTGCTTTTCGTACAACAGGGATTTAGGATCTTAAAATATCATCGTGTTTGGGGGTGAATCTCTTGGGAAAAGGGGGGAGTGGGTGGGGGAGCTCAACCAAGGACGAAACCCAGATTCCCATAGAATAATAGATTTATAATTAATCAATTAAAATAAGAACGGTTTCAGAATGTATAATTTATAAAAAAAGAAGTTACATGATTTGCAAGGTATACGAAAAGGTTATATCAAATGCTTCAAAAAGCTAGAGAAGATTACACGTACCCGCGTTAATAGTTCTCAATCATTCCTCTTATATTCGTGGCATTGTCACAAACGTCAATTTCATTGATCAATTGCTCGAAGTTTCCTTGTCTTCGTCAACAATGGTTTCGCTATTTTCGCTGCTGTTTCGACGTCTGTGCTGGAAAGTTAGGTCAAAATCGTCCGGAAATTGTGAACGATAAGTGGTGAAATCCTCCTGTTTGCAGTAGTTGGTGAAGAAGGTTAAATACTGCCACTCCTCGTGGGTCGGTTCTGGAGGCGGTGGTTTCGGTTTAGCTCTTTGAGTCGTTGGCTCAGAACGCCACATTAAAGGTCGCATCTTTATTGCCGGCGGCTTCATGACACGCTTCAAGGATGCCAGTAATCGTAGCATGAGCTCGAACTGCAAACCAAAGGGTACCATTACTATGAATTCTCATTCGACGAATGCACTTTGCGTAAATTCGACAGTTACAAATAGTCTGGAAGTCTTAAGAGTTATGAGACTGCAGGTGAATGCCCTTAACACTAGATTTACGGGTATTGATCGCGCGTATATTTATTGATATCTTTCATGTTGACAATTACCTTAAAATACGATTTTTCTTTTAATTAGAATATGTATTCTAGCCAATGCATTAATCAAATTCAACATAAGTTGTTAAAAAATAATATTTACGCGTTCTGCAATTTTAAATATGGAATCAGACATCCGTCAAATTAACGGATTCCGTAAATCTAGTGTTAAATATCAGAAATCGAAGAATCTAATTCTTTGAGACTCACACTCTACAAGCACGTAGATTAAGCAAATGTATAAACTCAGTAATTACATAATATAAAAACTACTTGATTCAAAATTTGCAAATTAATTAGGTGAACCTACAGGTCAATGATTATGTGGGGTCCTGTTGATGAGAGATGGAAAAGGAAATGAAAGGGGAGTGTTCCGTCCCGGATGTGCTAGTGGACTCGGTCGAGGAGCGATACGTGTACATATACAAACGGAAGATTGGTCGGTCGCTTGCGAGAGGAACGGTCCCTCTGGTGACAAGTACCGGAAGCGATAGACCCCATAATTACATATTGTGAAAGTTACTAATTTTATTAAAGGATTTTACTACTACAAGTCTGGACGATAGAAAGTTCAAACCTTGTAAGCTTGCCTATCAAATAATCCAACAAACAAAAATTTATAAATTTGGGGAGACAGAAAAGTTATCTTAAGTACTATTTATAGAAACAGACCTTTTTGGCTGCTTCTTCAGTCTCCTGCATCGCTTTGAGCTCCTGTCTAAAACCTTCCTGCTCGCAAACTTTAACCACGTCCGGTGGCAAAGTATCCAGTTCCAAATTGAGCTCCTCGTGAGTTTTCTCTATCCATTTCATCATCGAGAAACTGTCCAGATTGGCATCGTTCGGTGCGACACAACTCTCATAAGCATCTTCGATGAATACTTGGAAACGTAGTACTTCCTCGGAGCAGACGGAATCTCGAAACATGCCTTCCAGAAGCACGTTCGCGTACCTCTCCAATTCTGCCGCTCTAGCTTCGAATTTGCGAATAGAACTCTAAACGAACGATCACAGATTAATGGTCTCGAATTAAAAGTAGACATTAAATCATTTTGGTATTAGGTCTGCAACTAATTGCACGTAATTGTTTTCTATATGGACGGTTACTTGATGTTCGTTTATCTCGTTGACGAGTTCGTTGATTTCCGACTTGATCTGCACTTCAGCGGTCTCGATTGTCGTCAACATCTCGGTCATCGGCTCTGCCAGGGACTCCAGATGAATCAGCGCGTTCAAGTTCTGCGTTGCTATCGTTCTAAATACTCGAATGAGATCGAATGGATCCTCGAAGTACATTTCAGTTGGACCTGCTTCCAGTACATCCTGCTCGAATAACTCTGAAAGATGTAGATGCGTCGGTAGGATTGTCTATTTCGAAAACGTTTGGCGGGAGGCGATGGACCCCAAGCATTAAACCACGGTAGGTAGTTTTTTTGGCGTTGCAAAGAGCATGTCTAGTTTCTTTAAGTTTCAGGTCGAGTTACCATTGAAGGCGTCGCTCGAAGAGAAACAAACAGAAAGGCATGGTGGCAATAATCACCTATCAAATTGTCGAGTGAAGCAACTTCGTCGATCATTCTGTATCGGCTGAATAAATCGTCCACGCTGCTGGAGACGATGTTCTCGTCGGATCCAGACCGATAAATCCAGTCGTGTTTCGCGCGCCAAGAAATCGGAGACACTTGATACAAGAATCTCTGGCACATCTTCACCATCCTCCAGCTTTCTTCCCAAAAATACACGTCTAATCTGACCTGACCGTATTCCTTGGAGAGCTTGTTCCTCTTGTCGCTGATTTCCTTGGTCAGTCTCACTTCGTTCTCAGCCTGCACTAAGATCTTCATGCTCTCTTCGTGATCCTTGGACAGGAACTCCTCGAAACCACTTACGTATCGACGATAACGACGCTAAAAACGAAACGTAGTAAGGGTTTTTATTACTTATTAGATCACCTCGATTCGTGCAATAATTTTCATTCTCGATTTCCTGCATTAATTGAGGTTCTACTATGTGTCATGATATGCATTTTTCTGGAGCCTTGCTCGAGTTATGGTACGAATATAAAACAGCTTTTTATTAAGATTGTTTGAAAAATAATAGAGTTGAATGAAATTTGTACTAACTTGTTCTCTATTATCTCCCAATAAAAATAGTAATGTATTGTTTATGCATAAAAAGAACGAATAATTATTATATGTAACGTCTCTTTCCTACCTCTATTTATTTTCAAGTTGATGAAGTTGATACTTCTGAAGAGTGATCGAATATTTTTAAGAATTTTACCTGTGAGTAAAGTTTTCATAAAAATTGGCATGTAACAATAGAGTGACGTTTCTCGTAAATATTTCATTTAAAAAATAATGAAGGGCTTTTATTTGCTTTTATATTATTGCTAAATTGAAATCTTCACGAAATTATAACAGTACTTTAACGAAAGACTACCGGAATACCTTTATTGTGTCCAGTCTCTTCTGCTCTTCCACAAATTGCTGTTCTATACGAATACAGTCGTCCAATGCTTGTCCAGCGAGCAGCCTAGTCTTGAAGATCTCGCGATTATCGTCCACATAATCGTGTACAGAAAACTTTTCTTTCACTACCCTGCCAGAGAATCCTGTGAAGAATTCTGGATCTACGTCGGTGATGGCTATCGCCTCGTCCAGGTCTTTATGTTTCTTAGCTTCTAATTTTTCGATACTGACGTCAACCTTGGCAATATCAACAAACTTGTGTAGCAATTTGTAAGGGTTTATTCAACATCAAATTATATTATTTTTATAAAATTAAACATATTTTAAGTAATTTAATAAATTTTATTTTATTATGCTAAATGTGTACATTGCTTTTGAAAAGATAGCAAATGCAAGTTATAGTATATACTTAGTATCAAAATACCTTAATAGCTTTTTTCACAATTGGCCTTCGTTTTCGAGATATTTTGATTTAAAGTTTGGTATATGTGTAGTAAAAGAATTACTTTTTATTTTACAAAACAAGATTTAGCTAAATCGGTAGAGTGATTAGCTGTGAACCTTTTGGTAATGGGTTCGAATCCCCGTCAAATTATTTTTTTTTTCTTTTATTATTTTAAAATGCAAAAATATATTTTATTTATTATGTACATATAAGATAAATATTAAAGCAAACAATCCTTAAATTTTTAATATAAAAAGCAGTAGTAAGTACAGTAGTAAAATAGCATTATATTTATATTCTTTTTTCGTTCCAGCCGAAAACTGTTCCGGCTGCACAACTCGGGAACTTGTGCTCCAATTTCGATGATACAAAAAATAAGAATGTGTGTTTTTAAATGCTCTTTATTATATCAAAGTTTCTTTTATAAAGTTTTGGTATAAAGTTTATTTTTGTTACGCACTGTACTATAACTTGCACCTGCTATCGTTTCAAAAGTAATTTGCACGATTGTAAGGTACCCTTGTTAGAGACGTAGTCGAAAATTAAAGATTGACGTAATACTTTTGAAAATAACTAGACGTCAGAATGTTCTTTTGTATTTTTCTTTTTTTAGGGACAAATGAAATTGAAATGCTTACGCGAAGTGCCCGTAAAAGATCGTTTTTCTGTGCAGTTGAGGTGACGCCTGTCCTCCGCCCCATGACCAACGAGTTCTTCGCTTTCCAGTATTGAAAATAAGAAAACATGAGCGAGCACGGGGGGTAAATGAACGGCGATTGCTCTTTGTTGACGTTCCTCGCTTCCCCCAAGTGTTCATGATCTTTGGTGAAGTAATACTGTGTTCTATATTACAACAAACATTACACAAATAATTCAAGTTTGAATATTTCAATATTTTTTTTTTAAGAAGAATTTCATAAAGCACACATTAAACAACAATTTCAAGTAACTCTCCAATCTATACTCTATAAGAGAAAGTAGGACAAAACGACATGCCTCTGTTTTTTCATAATGCAATGATGCAATGAATTTTGTCTAACGCTTGGTATTGGTTAGAAGCCATTTTGAGATAAAGAATAGACGCGAGCACTCGTTAGTTTATGTTTAAATGAATTTTAAAAATGTTTTGCTCAAACCAATCAATATTATGTTGGTAATTTGAGCATTGCCTGGTATTTTGATGTTTCGATCGATCGTTTATTTTACATTGAAGCAGCGGAACACCGTATTTATTAAATATACTTCGACGAAATATGAAATACATGGATCCAATGCAACACCTGAAGAATTTTTCAGGCTGTTTGTCGGTCATCTCATCCCTCTTACGGTTTCTCCGGCCGATTCGACGCGGTTTCGAGCATCTTGGTGCATCTGAAATTCTCCGTTTATACGCCTCGTGCATTATTCAAGCTCAGCTTTTCACCTGCCAGATCATTTACCTGCGTCGCTCTTGAAAAGCTCCCTATTATCTTGCGTTTTGCTGCAGGTCAAAGTTACGAGAAGAGTCATATTTGATCCTAAACATTGCAAATTAGAGATCTCGTATTCTTTTTTTAATCAAATTCATGACAATTGAGATAAAACGAATTTTTCTATATCAATACCGCGTATAGCGTGGTCTGATGGGACAGAAATATAATTACTCCCTGAATTACTATAAATTTCTGCAAAAATATTTGTTTAAGAACCACGTGATTCATATTCGTTTTCAAACTACACAATTCCATTATAAGTTCTTATTAATATCTTTTATTTGTATCAATAGTTCTTATTAATAATTTCGTTTGTATCAATTATTGCTATTAACGAAGACATGAAATTTTTAATTTCAGGGTCAATTAATATTAATATTCTACCAAAAAATTATTTAATCGTTAGTTAAATCATATGAAATTCATTGCAATTTCAAAGTACACCAATCATTTAATAATTACTGTACGTAATAATAATGGTGATTATTTGGACTTGTCGACAGGTCTTCCAACAATACACATTCAAATTGTACAAAATTCTAGCACGCACGAATTTCACGTTTCAAAGTGGACCAATGGAAAGTTGATCTGCAAAGGAGTCATATTTTCGATACCTTAAACTACGTGTTATTTGAAACATAAAACGTGCTACTTACATCTCAAAACAGTGACTGGATTCTCTTTGCACCGCTCGATGGAGCCGCGACGTTGAAAATAATAAAAATGCGAGAGACAGTTCGATAACCAGCCACCTCTTGCAATAGCTGTCACCATTGGTAGCACGTTAACGTTTTGTTGATCATCTGTTGTCAAGTGGGATTGTTTGACATGCGCGTTTCACTTCCGAGAGCACTTTGCCACGGATCACTGTCAATTCACTGTCTGATAACTTTAACAAGGGAAAACTTTTTTCTCCGGTGCTGGGTAATAGATTTTACAAATTCATACAAATTAATTTAACTGTTTGATCGAATCCTGAAATTTTTTAAAATATACAAAATAGAGAACTGTTAGAAATAGAATAATAAAAAGAATTTAAGTAAATTGTATATTGTTTAAATTCCTTTTATTATGCCACTAATTAGGAATTTTACATTTGTACAACGAAATTAAAAACGATATAACGTACTAGCGTGTAACAATTGTTATACAAACGCTGAAATTTATTGCACAGATAATAATAATAATGTTACGACGTTATTTCATCCTGAATCCCATTACCCAATATGACGTCGCATCTGCAGTCAATTTATTCAATAATATATTGACTTCCCGCGATTTGGGTGAAACAAATGTCGTAACCAAGAAAATAAAAACAAATCGTCGCTTAATCGAATAATCGATCGATTTATGCCTAATACTTACGTAAACGTGTTCTATCACGAACAGTTTTATATTCTATCACGAGAGATGATCATATCCCATTCCTTATACAACTATAAAGACTACTTAATGTAACTAATAAGCTTGAAAGCTTCAGGATGAAAAAATTCATAAACTTATATTAATAAATGTTTCATAAGTGAACAAAGAATTCCCACAATGGTTCAGAAGCTTCCAAATATCTTCTGCTTGACGTTTTGTCACCTTGATTCTTCACGCGAACCATTCACAGTATCTATACAGGGTGTTCGGCCACCCCTGGGAAAAATTTTAATCGGGGATTCTAAAGGCCAAAATAACACGAAAATCAAGAATACCAATTAGTTGATGGAGGCTTCGTTAAAAAGTTATTAACAATTAAATTCAAAAATTCCAAATCGTTCTGGAAAAATTATTTTCGGCTGCGGGGGTCAATTACAATCATTTTTGGTGAATACATATACCTCCGAAATCCTATCCACTTTCGAGAAAAAAAATCGGATAAGTGCTGAAATTTTTCGGCGAAAAAAGAATTTGTCAAATCGTTCTAGAAAAATTATTTTTGGTTGCGAGGGTCAATTACAATCATTTTTGGTCATTACAATTACCCCCGAAATCCTACGCACTTTCGAGAAAAAAATTCCTTACCGAAAATCTAATTAGGTGCCTAAATTTTTCGACGAAAAAAAATTTCAAATCGTGCTGGAAAAATTATTTTCGGTTGTGGGGTCAATTACAATCATTTTTGGTGAATAGACATACTCCCGAATTTCTACCCACTTTCTAGAAAAAAATTCGAGGTGTGAAATTTTTTGTGAGATACCCCCGAAATCCTGTGCATTTTCAAGAAAAAAATTCAGTACGGGCAGAACTTTAAACGTTAATAACTTTTTAACAAAGCCTCCATCAACAAATTGGTATTCTTGATTTTCACCTTATTTTGGCCTCTAGAATCCCCCATTATAATTTTTCCCAGGGGTGGCCGAACACCCTGTATAACATACTAGTACTGAAAGTACTCTAAGAATTACTAACGATAGACAGAGACGAAGGGTGCGTTATCCATAGCTGATGGTGTATCCCATGGAGAGCATAAGAGTCTCTTTGATAGCTGGATGGAGCTGTTTTTCAATGTATCTGGTCAAGGCCTGGCTGGCACCTCTCAAAAACACATCCTCCATTTCTCTGGCTACATACTCTTTGGACTGCCAGCCTCTGCTGTCATTCTCCAGATCAAATGGAAAGACAATGTCCAAATTTTCATCGACATACAGCTGCCTAGTCTCCTTTGGATCATCGTTGTCAGTTGCATGATAGTTATACTCTCTCTTAAAATTGGTCTTCGGCCCACTGTTGTTCGACTGTCTCACAAACTTCTTTGTAGCGTCTTCCAAATTCTCCTGACATACAGTACAATTGTAGGTTTCGTTCGTTTCGAGCTTCTTTTTGGTTAACGCGGTGACGAAATCTTGAGGAGTGATTGTTGCCGTTGATCTGGAAACTCTCGTTAAATAATAACCGGTTCCCTTGTTGGTTTTCACAGATCCTGGAAAGCGGAGAGCCCTCGAGGAACCTTCGAGAAAATTGGCTTTCAAGAGATCCCTCCTCTCGCGGGATGGTGATTTCGTAAGCCAAACATTTTTCCGCCAAATGCCCAATTTTGAAACTAGTGGACTCAGGAACCGAGACTGATGAGTTTCGTCCGGAATGACAACATCCACTTCCTTAGAAACGCCCATCAGCTGACGTGGTTCCGCTGCATCGTGGTCGTTGGTTGGTATCAGAGATAACACTGTCAACTGCGGAAAGTATTGATTGCTTTATCTTCAGAATAGATTAGGATGTTGAAGTTACATGTTAGCATCAACGGCTTTCTGAAAAGGATACGCACGCGTCGCGGATATACAGGATGATTCTTCGGCCAGTATACTCAAAACGAACGCCACTGCCATAACACCGCAACGAGAATTCCGTACATGTTTACAGTCGTGTGACTCGATAAAGAGATCTGAGTTTATTTCAGATAAACTTTTCAGGAATTCGTAAATACATAGACGAATTGTTTTTGAATCTATGCATTATTTATCTATTTCTTATCAAATTGTGGGGTCCTGTTGATGGGAGATAGGAAAGAAAAGGAAAGGGGAACATTTCATCCCGGGGTTGCTAACAAAGCCTCCCCTAGAAGCTAGGATATTTAATCGGTCAAGGAACGTATATGTATATACAAATGGAAGGTCGATCGAGCGCTTGCGAGAGAAACGATCCCTCTGGTGGCAAGTATGGGAGACGATGGACCCCACAAAATTTTGTATTCGAATACTCGAACACCTCAGCGAATTAAATATTTAACAAATATAGTTCTTATTTTATTTGTATTTAAATAGTATGACCTTGACTGTAATCAAATAGTTCCAATCCTAACGCATGTATATAAATTTATATTTTATATACACTTTTATATTTGAATAATAGTTTTCGGTTACTCGAATAATTGATGAAAGTTTACTTGATTCGAATACTCGTAAAATATTTGTCAATTGAATCGACCGAACAGTCTCAATTTTATTCTGAACGAATTATATCCACGCGATGCAAATACATAATATAATTGACAAACTATGTCAAAAGACTAAATGCATCCTCTAGGCCACAAGTCCCTATTATAAATTGTTTCAATAGTCGGACGGGACATTTTTTTTTTATTAATCTTCTTATAATTACCTCGTCGCGAGGCGGATAAAATGGCGGCCATTTATCTTGTCTCTTGATCTGTTTATCTAAGCGTCGCGTGTGACAACCATAGGCGTAAATGGAGGCAAATCTTGGTTCCAGGAAGCTGGACTCTGTTCGAATTCGCATTTGCCCTCTGCCGCGGGCAATAGGGTTGGTCAAGAAATCGATACCAGCTCGTCTCAGTCTCAGAGTCATCTTGCAAGATTCGGTTGGAATTGGTGGCTGATGGTTCCGCGGCGTCAGTGACACCATACCAGAAACTGAGAGGTCGTTGAACATCACTCGTGTTTGGAGAGAGTTGTTACTCGGTTCGTAGACGCATTTCTCTACTCTGGCCCACGGGTTACCAGTGTCGGTGGCACTTTGTGGTAGCTAGAAAAGAAAAATAGCAGTTAGATTTATTTAAGGAATTATTCTCCTTATCTTCAATTTATTCGTTAAGGGAACAAATATCTCTGACGTTTGCACTGTTCTTTACAAAAATTTTTTACAATTCTAAGGTAATACAAATTACTGTAAAATATTTTCAGTCTCTCCTAAGTGCTACAGTAATGCAATATATGCAATAAATATTACTTTAACAGCAATCCGTGAGACTGACATCTCGAGTGGTACAGAACGGAGTTCTTGTTGATAAGACGTCCCCGCCTCCTCCTCTTCCTCCAGTCTGTTTCTTCTAACGGAGTCTCTGTGAAGCGCATCCAAGGCACGTTCCAATCTTCCTCCGCAGGTTTCCCAATTTCCAATATTTGTGCGAGCGAAACTGACCGACGAAAACATCAACAACAAAATCGTGGGTACCTTGAACGCCGACATTACCTGTGCCAACGATAAATAAGATTAATATCAAAAGTCTCGAGGAACAGCGAAACTTTGCTTGTTGCATTGTGCACAAATGGATGGTGATGAAATCTTACATTACTTGAACATCTTAAATATCTCCATCGCTTTTGTAGTATACAATAAGTACACGCTAAAGCGTTTGACCTAACACACTAGTGTTAGTACTAAGCAGCTACTGCGAGAACTGATCTTTCTTTCCTCCTACAATACATTTAGTGTATAATCATAGTTGCAAAATTGAATGTAAGTTAAACAACGCCATGTGTACTCTTTTATGAAAAAAATTTCATTTAATGTGTTAATATAATGCAGACTATAATGCAGACTAAGTCAAATATAAAATAATGGTTTTGCTTCCATGCTTTCTCTGAATTCTTTAACGTATACGTATAACGTATATTTTGACACCCCAAAACCCCAACTATCACAATCTACTGTTGTATTCTTACAATAAAATAAATTAGAAAAAAGGAAATCTTATTAGGAAAATTATAAGACAGAGAGAATACCAAAATAAGACGAAAATCATGAATATCAATTTCTTGATTAAAGCTTCGTTAAAACGTTATTAAAAAATTAAATTAAAAAATTTCAAATTATTCTGAAAAAATTATTTTTACTTGCAGGGGTGGATTACAATCATTTTTAGCGAATACACATATCCCCGAAATCCTACTCCCTTTCGTGAAAAAAATTCTTTACTGAAAATATAATATACAGGGTGTTCGGCCACCTCTAGCAAAAATTTTAATAAGCGATAGTAGAGGCCAAAATAAGACGAAAATCAAGAATACTAATTTGTTGATGGAAGCTTCGTTAAAAAGTTATTAACAATTAAATTCAAAAATTTCAAATCGTTCTGGAAAAATTATTTTCGGTTGCGGGGGTCAACTACAATCATTTTTGGTGAGTACACATACCTCCGAAATCCTATCTACTTTCGAGAAAAAAAATCGAGTAGGTGCTGAAATTTTTCGGCGAAAAAAAATTTTTCAAAACGTTTAAAAAAAATTATTTTCGGTTGCGGGGATCAATTACAATCATTTTTTATCATTACACTTACCTCCGAAATCGTACGCACTTTCGAGAAAAAAATTCCTTACTGAAAATTCAATTAGGTGCCTAAATTTTTCAACGGAGAAAAAAAATTGCAAATCGTTGTGGAAAAATTATTTTCGGTTGCGGGGGTCAATTACAATCAGTTTTTGTCATTAGACATACCCACGAAATCCTGCCCACTTTCGAGAAAAAAAATAGAGAAGGTGTGAAATTATTCGAGAAAATTAAGAAATTGCAAATCGTTGTGGAAAAATTATTTTCGGTTGTAGGGTTCAATTACAGTCATTTTTGGTGAATAGACATACCCCCGAAATCTTGCGCATTTTCGAGAAAAAAATTCAGTAAGAGCGGCACTTTAAACGTTAATAACTTTTTAACGAAGCTTCCACCAACAAATTAGTATTCTTGATTTTTGTCTTATTTTGGCCTCTACTATCGCTCATTAAAATTTTTGCTAGAGGTGGCCGAACACCCTGTATAGCCAGAAAAGCTACCCTGCATGCGTATGTTTAAAACATCATAACTTCTGAACGGATTGGCCGATTTTAATGTTTCAAAATGCAAACAACGCGTATTTTAGTGGAGAATATCTAGAAATTCTAATAATATTGAAAAAGTTGTTCCTTAACCTCGTAAAGTGAGAAAAACATCATAAAGGTGGTCCAATTTTAAAACGACCATAACTCCTACAATAGTGAATGTATTTCAATGAAATTTTGGAGGGAAGTAGAGCTCATGGGTATCTACAAAAAAAATACTAAACAGTTTTACCGTAGCGCGTCAAACAAATTTATTAAAAATGAAAAATGAATTCTTAAGAAAAATCGACGAGGGGTGGACCAATTTTTCGAAAAAATTAAAAAATTTCAAATCGTTCTGAAAAAATTATTTTTTGCTGCAGAAATCAATTACAATCATTTTTGGTGAATAGATATACCCCCAAAATCCTACGCACTTTTGAGAAAAAAATTCGAGTAGGTGGACCAATTTTTCGACAAAATTAAAAAATTTCCAATCGTTCTGAAAAAATTATTTTTAGCTGCGGGGATAAATTATAATCATTTTTGGTGAATAGATATACAAATTGAAATAAAACGACAAATTGCCGTTCTACAGGCGGAACTTTGAACGTTGATAACTTTTTAACGAAACTTCAATCAACAAATTGGTATTCTTGATTTTCGTTTTATTTTTGCCTCTAGAATCCCTCATTAAAATTTTTCCCAAGGGTGGCCGAACACCCTGTATAATACAGACACGAGTAGGATCACAACCACGTATCAACAATTTTGTGTAACTCAAAGGCTCGTTGTACATACGTCTATAGATAAATAAAAGGTGGTTTATTTATTATTAACGAAACTTTTGCTGGTCAGACTATGGGATTTATTTATTTATGTATGTATTTATCAATTGTACACATAAATATGATTACATTTTGACGACTTGCAAAAGGCAAAGAAGACGCAACTACGTGGCCGATGCTATTAAATTATTTCCGCAGGCATATCCTGTAGAAACTCACTGAATTCGAGCCGCTGAAACAGAGCATGAATGCGTCTTCCTTCCGTTTGTTTCAGCGACAATCGGGTGAAACGAGGAAGCATAATTCGGACGCCCTGTTTAACGCGAGTTACCTTCATTATGCTTGTTGATTGCAATTAATTTTCTACAGTCCTCTATCACGATACATTTCATCGATTTAATAAAGCCAATACTAACAAGAAGTCACAATGCAATATAAAAAAATAAATTACAAATTCTGTAAGACCAATACCGCCAAGAAAACAGAATCATCGCATTTTATTGATGTTAATTTCTCTCGTGTTTAAGATACTGTACTTCCGATTCTCCATATTAAAATTCGTTAATAATGTAGTTTCAAATTATCTTCATTACATTCAACTGCTGTTCATTATTGTCAAACATTAAAATCAATTCTTTCAACTCAAGAATTTTTTTAATAAACTTAACGAATTTTTCAGCAACTCTTTTAATTCGACTTTCATAAACAGCAAGGTTCGATGATGGCTGTATTCTGCCTAAGTAGCTCTATCATCGACCAGGGTTGATACCTTATCATAATACAAATCCCAGAGTGTCATAAATTTCAACCCAGAGATGGTTGATCTAAAGATGGAAAAAGAAAGGACCGCCATATTTCCAAAAGCAAGTGGTAATTACATTTGTCCTCGAGTATGGAAGAAGCAAATGTGCAGTTCTTTTAAACGCAAACAATCTCTTACGGATGTATAAAAATATGAAAATTATTTTTAAAACGATAACAGTTAAAGTATTGCCTCTTGGTACGATTTGTTTTTCCTATCAACCCGGAGATGATTCTTATATAACCGAGCATCGAAGAATTGTATTAAAATTTGGAAACGGGAAGAAAGCCCTGCTACCAATTAACTACTACTTCTGAACAACTCTTCGTATCGAATGCTGGCTACTATTCGCGAGCGTCGAAACGGCCCGAAGAAGTTACAGCGTGGAAAACAATGCACAATTTCTCAGCCAGAGATGCAGTGCCAGAAGATTTCCCAATTTCCTAATTGGCCGATATTGAAACACGCTGCTGCGTATATAATAGTGTGTGCCCATAGAAGCATACGCAACATTCTACGACTCCAGATACGAAATCTCATTGTTTGAGCAAAATGAATGAATCTCGGTTGTATCGCGAATAAGGCCAGCTCCACCAGTATTTTTGTATGCTAATATGAGCGAACGGTGTTGATATCTCATTTCTAGACGCTTTCGCGCTCTGTTAGCCAGCAGAAACAATGCATGATGTAGGATTTTGTAATATCTCCCGTGAATTCGTGCGTACGCATCGAACATCTTTCTAACGTTAGGACATAATTTATGGAAAATCCCAATGTTGGTGAAATATTTTCGTGAAAGCAAGTATTTACTATTTAATGAATCAACCGATTAAAATTCTAAAGACAACGGAACCAGTAGTAAGTTTGACTGGCGATCTACAGATTAACAGACACCTGCTCTATCCACCGAGCAATTTAACCTACCGATACAATTTCTTTTTTTAAATCTAACATCGAACAGTTATTGCACGCAATACTATACATTAAGAGTAGTTATTAATTGTTAGCAATACATAATCAACATTTCAATTCTATGTGATTCGGTTGGTTGAAGACATATGCAATAAGTAATCTTGTATGTATCCACATACTTTCCTTCTTCTTACATTGAATTTAAAATGGCGAAACTTGTCCATTAATTTGTAATTAAAATATAAGAGGTTTTCATTCAACTCGATGTAAAAGTTAAAAGAAAGTTGTGCGATTACTATCGATAAAAGGCAGCGGCAACATGTACAGTGAAGTTCGAAAGTGAAAAATATTAATTGAACTTTAAGTACTTACTGATGCCTCCGAGCGTGATTAATTGTTTCCAATAGTTGGGCAAGTCTTGTAGTTTCTTTGGAAGATGAGAATAGAGTATTCCGTTTGCGCCTTCGAATCAAGGCAGATCGAATAACAATGAAAGTGGCTGGATACGCGCGGTGGCTCCTACTTGCAGGTCTTCCTTTCCTTCTTCTTCCGGCGGCGTATGGAACACGCTCGAAAGCAACGAGTTTGATCATAGCATCGCGTGAGATTCGCGGCATGAATTAACATTTCGTAATTTACAAGCGAATCGATAGTAACAATACCTTCGTCTGTAAACAGATAACACTGTCGTAGCCAATAAGCGAATCCGTGTAAATTGACAAAAGTTCCTTCATTGCGCGGAAAATTTTCATTCGGATACACTCATTTAAATTCTCGAATAACGAATAAAAGATAAGCAACTTTTTATTCCTTGCTGGTTGAACAAAAATTAAAATTATAATTAGAAAATGGCATTACATCTCATGAAGGCATAAATAAACGCGTCAATAAACACTTAAATAATTAATTTTCTTCGTTTTATTTACAAAATTTAAGACATTTACTTTACAATTATTTTTTTAAGAGTAATGTGGGAGAGGAGTCGAAATTACTAGGATAATTCAAAATTCTTTCTGAATATTTTCCAATTTTGTATCTTACAATCCATTTGTTCATTCTCTCACAAATGCATTTTTGTAATAAACTTCGTTCGTCTTGTTATGTAATGTGTGGATTTGGATACTAGTGAGAAACATAAATATTTTAACGTTAGTTTAATCTAAGGAACAATCTTTACACACGCGCTGGCGTTTAAAATTACATATAAATGACAAGTAAAATCATTAACCGTTATTTATCACAATGATCGTAATTCTTTCATTTTGAATTACAACGTGATTGTGTGAATTTGCTCGCTGTGATCACAATTTTTTATGTTCATTAAATTATTTTTTATAAAATACTTCGATATAACTTACATATAATATAAATTTTTAATTTACGCTACGTTTTTTACGTATAACGTAAATTTATTTGATTTAATATTAAAAATAAAAAGTAATTCAATTCTCTTTCCCCTATCTTATATGTATCAATAATTTCAACATCATAATATTACTCGTTTAAAATATTTGTGTAAAAGGGCAAACAATTTCCGTTATGTTTATACATGTATACTATTATACATATATAAAGGTTCGCAAAATTCCAATACATTACTTAACTATAATATGAAATGCAAATAATAATTTGAAAAAAAGTCTTACAAATTTAATATATTGATTTGTTAATTGACACATGTTATATAATTCTATATACATTACATTTTTTAGCTATAGTGAAGAGATATTTGTTGATATTTAAATAGATCAAGAACGATTGTATTCGTTCAAAATGTACAATTAAGATTCTTTAAGAACAGCGAATGCTGTACTATTTAACACCATGATAGAAATCACTATAGATTGAAACAGTTTCAATTCTGACGATGCGTGTATAAAACTGTTATGTCCTCCATCAGCGATCACGAAAAATCACAGTCACTGAAAACGAACGTGATCGAATCATTCATAATTCACAAGTACCTGTTCTAACCATCGCTATTAGCCAACACCATGCCGCGCTCGTAAGTTGGGGAATACAGGTTTGTCAACCCAAGTGTTGCCAACTAACGTTATTATTACAATCACCAGAGATGCTAGACGAAGTCCCAGATGCACCGGGGACCAGAGGTGCCAGAAAAGCATCGACGGTGCCCTACTCATACTATGCCAGATCACGCGTACGTGAGCTCGTAGAGTTTCGGAGAGTCAACAAAGGCAAACTGACGCATGCCCTCTTTCTCGATTCTCCGAAGCTGCCCGAAGTAATTTCGAACCGCCTCGTAGGAGGCGAGAGAAAAAGGCTCACATTTGCCTTCTCGCTCTTGAACAACTGAAATTCGACCTCACGTCAACGGCATACGATTCCGAGTCTTGACTGCCCAGGTATTTTTACTTTCCGACCTATGTATGTAGGCGCACATAAGCAAAGTACTATAATGAAAAAAAATTTTGTGAAATTTTTCTTACGGAAATACACGTTTTAAGACACCCTGATCATATTTGAATTATTGAAAAAAAAGAAATTCTTTTTTATTATTCCTATATATGAGCGTACATATGTATATCATTTCAGATATCACTTCTGATACATCTGGCAACGGCAACGTATAACCATTACTGCTGACTTCTGTCAACCTCCGCTGGCCTCCGTTGACCACTGCTGACCACCCCTGATGCTTCCGACAACGTATAACGATTACTACATGTTACTGCTTGCCCCTTCTGGCTTCTGCTGGCCCCTGCTGGCCCCTGCTGACCCTTGCTGGCCCCTGCTGACCACTGCTGGCCACTGCTGGCCTTTGTTAACAACTTCTGACATGATATATATGTATTAAAACATTGTATAATGTAAATTGATGGCAATAAATGATATAATTACAAAGAATTCTATGTGTTCTCATCATTTTTTACCTTTCTTTTCCTCTTCAAATCATTACCTTAGTTATAAGATACGTGCCACCTCTTCCCATATCATGTCCTCCCAATAACAAAATCTAAAATGAACCTAAAACCGCCACCGTCATACCTAACGTCGATAAACGATACTTATTCATTTATTCAGTAACCATCAGCTCTTGTACTTGCTGCCAAAATCAAAAATTCATTTTTTTCGTCAAAAAATTTTTGCTCGAAAATTTCGCCGATTTTGCAATTCAGATTTGGCCTTGACCTTCACCTTGACCTTGACCTTGACTTCAAGGCCATTCGAATTTTTAAAAAATTCTGGACACTTTGGGAATCCAATTTTAACCGAAAAAACGGTCTCTTAAAACTAAGGCAATGATTTGGAGAGAAAAAGAAAGGTAAAAATGATGAGAACACATACAATTCTGTTAAATTATATCATTTATTTCCATAGATTTACATTATACAAGGCTTGAATACTTATACATCATGTCAGAAGTTGATAACAAAGGTCAGCAGTAGTCAGCAGTGGTCAGCAGTGGTCAGCAGAGGCCAGCAGAAGCCAGCAGAGGCTGCGAGAGGCTGGCAATAGCCAGTAGTAATGGTTATACGTTGCCAGATATATCAGAAGTGATATCTGAAATGATATACATATGTACGCTCATGCATAGGAATAATAAAAAAGAATTTCTTTTTTTTCAATAATTCAAATATAATCAGGGTGTCTTAAAACGTGTATTTCCGTAAGAAAAATTTCACAAAATTTTTTTTCATTATAGTACTTTGCGTATGTGCGCCTACATAGGTCGGAAAGTAAAAATACCTGGGCAGTCAAGCCTTAGAATCGTATGCCGTTGACGTGAGGTCGAATTTCAGTTGTTCAAGAGCGAGAAGGCAAATGTGAGCCTCTCTCTCTCGACTCCCACGAGGCGATCCGAAATTACTTCGGGCACCTTCGGAGAATCGAGAAAGAGGGCATGCGTCAGTTTGCCTTTGTCGACTCTCCGAAACTCTACGAGCTCACGTACACGTGATCTGGCATAGTTGAGTAGTGCACCCGGTGCTCAATCTGGCATCACTGCTGGGGACACCTCATTCCACTTTCTCACACTATGCCAGATCACGCGTATGTGACCTCTTAGAGTTTCGGACAGTCGGCAAAGGCAAACTGACACATTACCTTCTCTTTCGATTCTCCGAAGCTGCCCAAAATAATTTCAGACCGCCTCGTGGGAGTCGAGAGAGAAAGACTCACATGTGCCTTCTCGCTCTTGAACAACGAAAATCCGACCTCACGTTAACACTAGATTTACGGAAGCCGTCAATTTTACGGATGTCTGGTTCCATATTTAAAATTGCAGAATGCGTAAATATTATTTTTTAACAACTTATGTTGAATTTGATTGTTGCAATGGCATGAATACATATTCTAATTAAAAGAAAAGTCGTATTGTAAGGTAATCGTCAACATGAAAGGCATCAATAAATATACATGCGATCAATGCCCATAAATCTAGTGTTAACGGCATATGATTTGGAATCTCGACTGCCCAGGCATATTTTCTTTTCGATCTATGTAGGTTCACATAAGCAAAGCACCATAATGAAAAAAAATTTTGTGAAATTTTTCTTACGGAAATACACGTTTTAAGACACCCTGATCATATTTAAATTATTGAAAAAAAAGAAATTCTTTTTTATTATTCCCATGTGTGAGCGTACATATGTACATACATATATTATTAATACGATTTTTCAAAATCAAAATACTTTAAGATCGTAAATTAATAAATTAAAATGAGAGTCCACTCTTTGCCAGTATCGTGCACGCTGTAGCATTCTTCAATAAGAAGTGTTCTTATTTTTATAATATGAACAAAACAAAAGAATTAATTTTTACAGAAATTAATTACTAATGATTTTCCTCGATATGTTTTGACATAACCGAATCAATTTGTTTTGACGAACTAAATATTATATGCCATTTTAATACAAAGTATGGGTCGGATTATAAATTTTAAAAGGATATAGCTGAATATTTTCTCAGGTACAAACATAGCATTTAATTTTAGAACAGTAACTTGAGTTAGCAGGTAATGCCATAAAACTCTTTTACCCAGTTATACCCCTTTTTACCTGAAGTATAAGGTAAAAAGTACGACGTATAAGGTACGACTACATTTACTTTTGAATTTTCCTACAGATCTCCGCTGGCCTCTGCTGGCTTCTGCTTATATTTCTGACAACGCATAACGATTACTACTGACTTCTGTCTGCCTCCGCTGACTTCTACATATGTATATTATTAATACAGATATATTATTAATACATTGAGTATAAATGGCTGAATGAATTTAAATGAAATTTTACATTTACGTTTTATGTTCTCATTTCAAAGTCCGGTTAAACTTTGACTATAATCAGCCTATGGATAATAATGATTATACCTCTTGTTTTATAGTTGTTCCGATACATAGGCGTTATTTATAAAAAAATCTTTTAAATGTTTCATATAAATCTTAGGAAGAATTAAATTTTATGTAAAAAAAATTAAATAAACTTTATCTCTATTTTCGCTCGCAGCTTTATTGCCTCTCGCTCAGCATAGCTCGTGATAAAATCGACTGTGTTGCAACACTCCATATTATGAGCCAAACATGATACAGATTATGGCCCAAATATGACAAAAACAATCCCACTCATACTAAAACTAAATTCTGTACATTCTGTATAACTGATTAATATTTGATGCTTTTAAACGAATTAATGTTTCGGATTCTCTTCTCGCGATTCCGCCATCTTTTATCCGACTGAGCGTTTGTTTCTGCGCATAATAAATTCACTGGCTAATTATGGTACATACACGCAGTCACAAATTAAATCTTAAAACAAGAGGTTAAAGATGACAATCACCACATTGTCACAATAATTGCTTATGCATTAGTATGTCTAAGTACAGAAGCAGATTCCTTATGACATTCCATCTCCGGTGTAACATCTGTATACACAAAACAATCAACCGTCGCAATCTTAAAATTCAAGATCAGTGATACCAGGCGAGAAGAACTTATGAGTCGTAGATTATTCCGAGAATAAGAGTATAACTATAGTTTATAGAGTTGGTCCACTTCACGTCGGTTCCTTTGATCGTATCGCCAATGTAGCCATATTGTTTTAAAAAGTTTCAATGAACCTATAGTAATAGCATTAACTACAAAAGGATCGATACGAAGCACTAATTTCATGAAAAGAAATTTGAAAGAATTACAAATTTTATTGTACATAAATATAATCATTATTTACAATTGGAATATTAGAAACATGTCTAAAAAAATGTATCAAATAAGTTAATTCTATATAAAATTAACATTTTATATATTAATTCAAAATCAATACGCGTGTCTCCAATTCCATAATAGAAATTTTTGTTTTTAGATTCCGTAATCCCCAAGGAAATTCTATTATCCTTATATCAGAGATGCCAGAAAAGCACCGCCGGGTGCACACGCACACATGCCAGATACGCGTACGGGAGCTCGTGGAGTTTCGGAAAGTCGGCAAAGGCAAACTGACGCATGCCCTCTTTCTCGATTCTCCGAAGCTGCCCGAAGTAATTTCGGATCGCCTCGTGGGAGTCGAGAGAGAAAGGCTCACATTTGCCTTCTCGCTCTAAACAACTGAAATCCGACCTCCCGTCAACGGCATACGATTTGGATTCTCGAGCCGAGATTCTCGACTGCCCAGGCATTTTTACTTTCCGACCTATGTAGGCGCACATAAGCAAAGTACCCATAATGAAAAAAAAATTTTGTAAAATTTATTTTACGGAAATACACGTTTTAAGACTTCCTGATCATATTTTAATTATTGAAAAAAAAGAAATTTTTTTTTATTCCCATGTATGAGCACACATATGTATATTATTAATACGATTGAATATAAATAGCTGAATGAATTTAAATGAAACTTTACATTTAAGTTTTATGTTCTCATTTCAAAGGCGTGTGGACGGATTCAAATACGTGAACACTAAACGTAACGATGTAATTATATTATTTAATATTTACTAACTATTTAACATAAAGAACATAAAAGAAAGACATAAAACGTAAACGTAAAACTGTGATTGCTCTCGACTAACGTTCGATACAGAGTGACGTTCCTGCAGTCAAAGTCGACCCTTCCTTATTCCTATCTTATAATAATGATCTAAACAAAACGCACGTTCGAGACGCAGTCTCTAAAACGTATTTCACCTTAAACCTAAACACCTCACTCGATACCTACTCTAGCTTAGACTAAACACTCCTATCGACGCAAACGATAACGGTTCTCCTAGCCACACACATACACTCCTTACAGATTATACCTCTTGTTTCATAGTTGTTCCGATATATAGGCATAATGTATAAAAAATCTTTTAAATGTTTCATATAAATCTTAGGACGAATTAAATTTTATATAAAAAAAATTATATAAACTTTTTCTCTATCTTCTCTAGAAAAGAAAACATTAAATGAAATCTTATACATTACATGCTTACTTAAATCGCATTGAAAACGAATACCACAAATGTTTTAGAATAATGTGCAAAATGTGATTGCGATTTTCGCTAAGACAAATTGAAAACTCGTTTCTAACAAGGAAAAGTTGGAATGGTACCAGGTTTTGGGTTAGGTTTTACTTTGAGATATTATTAAAGTTATTACAGATACTTATCTTCAGAAATAGAAATACACTCAACAACCAGCGTGGCGTGAATGACAAAGTATTTGCCTGCAAGTTCCGAGCTTCTTCTGCTCTGTAGGTTCAAACCCTGCCAAAACAAATCCTTTTTTTTTATTTTTTCAATCATATTTTAATCGTACACTAAATGTGACATTATATTTTTGTCTGACCTTCGAATATTTTTTTTTTAAATTGAATTTAACATATGTTATTTTCAATGTACGAAGTACATGAATCTGGATGGTACTTTTCACAAAAACAGTCAAAACATAAAAATTTCAAACACCACGTAAAGGGTATAGCCGAATAAGGGGGTCAAATGTGCCCTTGAACGAAATGTGACATACGATGGATCCATCGATAGAGCATCAAGAAAAAACGTTCTGTGCCACTGAAAGTTTTGTTTTCACAGAAATTACAAAATTTTGTATTTAACTCTGATGGAAAGGCCGCTTCATTTACATTGATAAAATGTGAACGATTTTCGGATAGTCGTACCTTGTAGCTCGTACTTTTTACCTTATACTTCAGGTAAAAAGGGATATAGCTGGGAAAAACAGTTTTATGACATTACCTGCTAACTTATGTTACTGTTCTACAATGAAACGCTATGTTTTGTACCTCTAAAAATATTCGACTATGTCCTTTTAAAATTTAAGATACAACCCATACTTTGTATTAAACTGGCAAACGGGATCACTTTTCCTTTGTTTCTAGTTAGTTCTATTTAGTTTGTCATAACAAATTGATACGGTTATCTCAAAACAATCGAGGAAAATCATTATTAATTAATTTCTGCAATTATTAATTCTACTGTTTTGTTTATGTTATAAAAGTAAGAACTCTTCTTATTGAAAAATACCACAGCGTGCACAATACTGGTAAAGAGTGGAATCTCATTTTAATTTATTAATTTTCAATCTTAAAGTATTTTGATTTTGAAAAATCGTATTAATAATATATGTACATATGTACGCTCATACATGGGACTAATAAAAAAAATTTCTTTTTTTTCAATAATTAAAATATGATCAGGAGGTCTTAAAACGTGTATTTCCGTAAAATAAATTTTACAAAATTTTTTTTTCATTATGGGTACTTTGCTTATGTGCGCCTACATTGGTCGGAAAGTAAAAATGCCTGGGCAGTCGAGAATCTCGGCTCGAGAATCCAAATCGTATGCCGTTGACGGGAGGTCGGATTTCAGTTGTTTAGAGCGAGAAGGCAAATGTGAGCCTTTCTCTCTCGACTCCCACGAGGCGATCCGAAATTACTTCGGGCAGCTTCGGAGAATCGAGAAAGAGGGTTAGCGTCAGTTTGCCTTTGTCGACTTTCCGAAACTCCACGAGCTCCCGTACGCGTATCTGGCATGTGTGCGTGTGCACCCGGCGGTGCTTTTCTGGCATCTCTGGTTGTATTGATGGTGTATTCACATGAAACCTCGAAGGAAACAAAAATTGTGGGAGTGAACCAACTGTATAAGTGCGATAGGGATGTAAACACTCGTGAGCCTTCTTCTCTTGGATAGACTGTAAGTTATATTCCCTCACTCCCATTCCCAATCGGAGGAGAAATTCCCAAAAGTTCTTCTCGCCTGGTATCACTATTCGAGACTTTAACAATCGATTAAAGTCGATTACTTGTCTGTTCTACGATTGGGGATCAAAATGAAAATAATGCACAAATTTGTTTGTCATGAGTGTTATGCTGTAAATCATGTCGTTACTATGATTGTTCGTTAAATATCTTGCGTCTGTGTAAAGACATTTAAATTATTCATAAATTTAATGCACTTACTTTCAATTCTTGACAAAAACGCGCGTGCGATTTTTAGGTTATGTGCATAAGATGTACGCTTCTACGAGGAACTTGTGTTTATTTATCGTAATTTTAGGTAAGACAAGCCATGATAGTTTTTCCACGATTCACCAGTAGCAAGCAGATTTTAATTTTCTTCATTTGTTTAGCACAAATGATAAATGTCTTCGGTCGGATGGACAAATGCGAGTTAACACAAGCAATCCTTTTTAAAAATCCGGATCAAGGACCCGAGCCTGATCCAAACGAAGAAAAAACTGTAGAGGAGAATAAAACTGTTGAATCCAATGTGACAATGAACAATTCTACCTCTAACACCACTAAAGTTAATTGCTTGATGGATAAAGTTTATGGGCCAGTAGAAGTAAGATTTCAAAGTAGTTGAATATTTTATTTATAAAATATACAAAAATAATTATATATATTAACTGTTACAGCTTGTCAATGTAACCAGGCTAATGAAATTATTAATCTTAGAACCTGGCCTAACAAATAGAAGCATAAATAATAAGGAAAGTAAACTGTTACCAGGAACATGTGTAATAGTATTATTTTATGCAAGATGGTGTATATTTAGTAGTCAAGCTGCACCACATTTCAATGCATTACCACGTTCGTTTCCACATCTCAAAGCAGTAGCAATTGATGCTATAAAATACCAACAGTAATGCTTTAAACTGTTACATTACATTTGAAAGTAACATAATGAACATATTTCATGTAAAATTAACATTTTATTGTTCTTACAGCTTCAATGCCCAGTATGGAATTGTTGGCGTTCCCACACTGATGCTTGTTCACAATGGGAAACCAGTGGCAAAATTTAACAATACTGTCTACACTCTAGAATTTTTTGCAAGATTTATAACGCACATAACTAATCTACAACCAAATGGAACATTATATGTTACGTCTTCAGATTCTTCTGGTCCTGTTTCCAGTATACCTTCAAATGAAACAGATTATTGTCTAGTCCTTTCATGGGTCTTTATCGCTGCATGTGCTATTTATTTTACATTGCAAAGTAGATGGTGGCAGCGATTTGTAGAATTAGTCCAGAATACGTGGCGCGAAAGTAATGCACAACATGAGCATGCTGATTAAGACATTAAAAGAGACTATTTGTTGTTCCATGTAAAACTACATGGTTTAAAATACAAACTCGTGGTATTAAAAGATTAAATTACGTGATAATATTTGTGGTAATTGTTAATTAAGACAATGTAAATATACTCTAATAAATAAGTAGTATAAATATTGTTTAGAAAACTGGTTCATCATTATCCATAATACCTTGTATTATTTGATTTTGTATGTTAATTCATATATTAGTGTACAATAGCTTCGTATATATTTAAAAATAAAATAATCTTATCAAAATTTGCGATAAAAATTAATAATTCAATTATTAATAATACTTTTTTTAATATAAAGTCAAAAATTTGTCAATAAATAATTTGCCTTTAAAATGACAGGAAGTTTCGTAATTATAGGTTATTTAAACGGAACCTTATGTTCCACGCTCCTTTTGTCAATTGAGTATCCAATTCACTTTCAACTAGTATCAATAACTTCATATTGCAACACGTACAATATAATATATTCAAAAATCGAGGTACATACGATAGAATTGTGAATATTCACATCGCAGTAAAATGATAATGTATTTCGTAAATGAAGCTCGAATTTGACCTCGATAGTTCTACACTAAGCTGATATGTAATGGCCGACTTCGTGATTCACTTATCACTTCCCTAACTTCATGATTGTTGTGTGCGGCATTTGTTTGCGCTGAAGTTCGTCTCTAATGAGTTTTGTTATTGCGAGATCGAGGTGTTATTTATTTTCGTGTAACGTAATTGATTAGGAATAAGTAGACTTTGTTCGGGAAAATTAAGTCCTCTGTGGGAAAAATATGATATTGTTCTGTCTCTGGATACGTTTATGCAATTTTACTGATTTTTGTGATTCATCATCAGGTTAGGATCTTAACAGCTAGAAGCCGGCTCAGTTTTTTAATTAAGGCTAGAGTAAACGAACGTAAAAATCAAGTTAGGTTAATATTATAGTAGAGGGTCAGATTAGGGTCAACAAAGACCCCGTATAAGGTCAAATTTAAACGAAAAAGTTATGGGATCATTAAACCTTGTTTGTCCAATGTGTTGTGGTGAAACATTTAACAGTCCACAGTCATTAAAGTACCATTTATTAAGTATGACAGACAACCTATATTGTCCTGGTTGTTCCCAGCGTTCTGACTCGGTCATGGCACTCATTCAACATTTGGATCGGTGTGGACAAAGTGTTGATTCAGAAGAACCACCTGAATCAGAGCATGAACCTAGGCAAGAGACTCGTCAAGAATCAGAACCAGATACGGAGGTTTTAATGGTTTGAACCAAAATAAAAGTTTCTATGTTTGCAAGTATTTTAGTTTTTGCATGACAATTTTAATTTTAGAGCACAAATGTTGAAGAAATAGACCAAAGTTTTCTAGCAACTGTAAATGACAGTGGAATTATGATAGTTGGTGGGCCCCAAACAATACAAGTTGATGAAAATGGTGTGTAGAAATTTTAATTTAATATATGTTAATTCTGTTTATTTGATTATTCCTTCTAACAAAAATATCAGGAGAAATTAAAGTCATAGAAAAAATGGAAACTGAAGAAATAGAGCAAACACAAATGGAGAAAAATTCTCTAGAATTTGAGATAACTGAAAGAGTTCCTAATACCACTAACAAAGCAGAAGGAAAGTCTTTAATTCAAAATCAGCTAGTAACTATTACTGCTTCAGAGTCAGATGATAAAAACAGAAATAAAAATGTAATCACTATTTTACCCGATGGCTCAGAACTTCTTGATGGAAACACGGGTGCTTTGATAAATATGGATCATATAAATGATGTGGGTGAACTAGATGAAGATGGACTGTTGCATGTGAAGCAAGAACTTTGCGAGGTACAAATTAAAATATCCATTAAATACAGATGAAACTCTTATAAAGTACCAAATGCATGATGTTTCATGCTTACAGATGGAACCAGAAGCTGTTTATAGCTGTACTAGTTGTGACATGAGTTTTAATTCTGTTGTGGAACACATAAAACAATATCACGATGGACAAGAAGTATTACTTGAAATAGCTGATCAATTGGATGATTTACCTACAGTATCTGCATCTAATGCTTTAACATCAGAATCTGGAAATGTAGTTAACACGCGAAATAGAAAAGGCATGAATACTCTTCGTACAGAAGAATGCATAGACAGTGAAGGAAGACTGTATACACGAAAAGTAGTGCAAATAGAAAGGTTTTGGGACAGAACTGCAGCTCAAACACCGCTGCAATCTACAAAGGCACCAATGATTGAGAAGTTCTTTTCTAATGTGGAAGGAGTAAAAGTATGAGAAACCTTACAGTAACCAGCACATATTTGAACATCATGATACTCCATGCATTACAGTTTTGTATGCAAAATTAATATTGATTTAGCGAATTAATTCTTTTTAAATGAGTTAATATTTTTATAAGTATTTTTATATATTTACTTCAAATTTCGAAATTTTCATTACTTGCAGCAAATAATTCAATTCTTCTTAAAGTATCAAATTATGATTATTATGATTGAATATACCCAACAAATTACTGAAATTACCTATGTACATATATTCTTGGTGTAAAAATATTATTAAATAGATATTATTTCTTTTATTATTTATTATATTAATTCGTTAGTTTCATATTATGTTTATGTACAAAACACCATAATGTCTGAATATTAATGCGAGTTACTATACATCAGTGAGGAAAATCCTGGTCGCATTAATCTAAATGCACTGTCACCGCTAGCGGAGAGAGAACAATATTTAGAAATACATTATGTTTAGTGAAAGAATGCGGTTTTATGCGCATCTATCCTCGAATAGTAGGGCCAGGTTTTTTCACAGGATGTATTTTCTCTTAAATCCTAACAGCTGAATGTTATTAAATCATGAAAATTAATTACAGGTACGTGAGAAGAGATTAGCAGAAGCACCATTGAGAATGTACAGATGTAATCAGTGCCTTCAGCAGTTTTCAAAACTAGGAAATTTTCGAGTACATGCGTGTCTACACGGTCATAATCGTTGTGATAATTGTGATCAAACGTTCGCAACACCAAAAGCGTTACAGCTACACGCAAAGGTACATGAAGGTGAACCAGATCCAAATCAGAAAACTTTTGTGTGTGAAACCTGTGGTACAGAGTTTTGTTCGCACAAAAGCTTGCGTTTACATTCTCGAATGCACGCGCCAGTCAGAGCAAGACACGTTGACGCACCGGAGGGAACACCTAGTGCGACATTCACTTGCCCTGAGTGTGGTAATAATGACTTTCCATTTAGTCATGGTTCATTATCTGATTTTAGTAACTATTTGCTCTTATTACGTATTAATTATTTGTAGGTAAAACGTTAGCAGAATCATACAAAGAAGCACATATGTCATTGCATTCCGGTGACTCTGTAACGTGTACAGTTTGCAATAGAAAATTTGATTCTGCTGATAGTTTAGCGATGCATGCTGCGGTGCACACGGAATTTAGTCAATCTCATTCACCGACGCCACCTACCACAGAAACTACAACTGTTGAACCTCTAGAAAGTCAAAAGCCTTATCAATGTCAGCACTGTGGTCGTAGATTTACAAGACCTCATGAGAAAGTGAAACACGAGCGCATTCACACTGGAGAAAAACCACACGCGTGCGAAGTGAGTATAGCGAAAGAAATACAGTTCTTACAAAATTCTGATTCACATAAAAAAATAATCTATCGTAACAGGTGTGCGGTAAAACATTTCGAGTTTCCTACTGTTTGACCTTGCACATGAGAACACATACCGGAGTCAGACCTTACGGATGTCAACACTGTGGCAAGAGATTCAAAGCTTCTTCCGTATACAATCATCATTTACTCACACACGGAGAAGAGCGTGCTTACACATGCCCGTATTGTCCGAAAACTTTCAAAACACGTGTTCAATTAGCAGGCCACAAAAACAGTCATACAAAGCCTTTTCGATGCACAGAATGTTCTAGACCGTTTGCGTCACTTTACGCCGCACGTGCTCATATCCAAACTCACAAAAAAGACAATAATTTGAAGTTTAGTTGTTATATTTGTGGTGCATCATATGGTAGAGCATTTGCGCTGAAAGACCACTTGAAACAGCATGGTCAAGATGTACTAGCTCCGCCGGAGCCAGCTAGGGAGGAAGAAGTTCACGAAGGGGAAGATTTTTTGCTTACAGAAGAAGTTGAGGAGGATGAATTGGTTATCCCATCGCCACTTCCCGTTGCACAATCATCGGAAGCCGAAGACACGGAATGAGACTATGAAAGCTAGTCAAATATTTGTTATAAATTGTAGTTTAATATTGTTCAATATATCGATAAATATGATGACTGATGATTCCCTATTTTACGTAGTGTTCAAAAACTATCAACAAAATTTCTATTCACCCATTGAATTATTATAAAACTTTAGTTCTAAGGCTGAACAAGCGATATTCTAATATGAACTGCTGTGACTAGGATTGATAGTATTTGTTTGTAAATAACATACTACGGATTTATATATCTTCCTAGATATTATGCGAACAGAAAGTGTTAAATGCGAATATCAATTGTATTATGAAAAAAACTTATAGTTTTATTGTGCCTATTTAATATATTAAAGTAAATCAAATTTATATTATTTAATTGGTGATTTGTTTTAACAGTTGTTTTATTGTGGTTGTAATTACGAAACGATTTTTCGCTTCTTAATTTTTAACTATGTAATGATAATACCAACAAGAGTGCATAGTAAAATGAAATTACAAAATACAATTTTGGTTTTAGGTAGAAAGAAGAAAAAATCTAACAAAAATCAAAGATTAATTTTAACATTAATTTAATTTCTAATAGTGTTAAAATTTATATCTATAGAAATATAGGTGTATTTGTGTAAACTGTTTTATAAAGAATCAATAATTTTAATTAATTTTATTCATTTAAAAAGATAGTATTTTTTATCACTGAATGAAACAAATTCATTTATATATTGAAATCATAATTTGTATAGTTTCCATATATTAAAAAGAAGATATATTTTACCTTTTGAAAATTATAAGATATTTATCCGGATAATTCTGGATATGACTGATTAGAAAGTAATCTGCCAAGTACAAATAATACGAAGAATCTATTATAAAATATAAAATATGAAGAATAATACAACTAGACAAATTTTTCTTTTTCTTTAAACGTGCCAAATTTATATACTTGTATATAAACAAAGATGAATTACTTCAACCATGGCGAAAATTTATTATACATTATTGTACGAAGTATAAATGTCTGTATAGAATACTTTCGTGCACTTTGTGTACACGTTTGTAATTAAATAAAACATAAGAAATAAAAACATTGTTCAAATAATCAGTGATCCATCTACAATCTAGATTTTTTCTTTAAGCTTAATATTTCTAGAGTTCATCAGCAACTTCGTCGATAGAGCTGTGCAAACAGGCTTACTTTTAATGCTAATGGACCATCTGTTGTACCTAGATTACGTCTTGTACCAGTACTCTATCAGAATTCATGTCGTTTTTGCGGTATAATAACATGGAGTTTCTAGATTTTCTGAATAGAAGTATTATTTTAGACGTCCAATGGAATTATCATGTAAAACACAAGTACGAAGTCACCACTATTAATTCGGAAGTATGACTTTTGATTAAACAATTTACCCTATGATGTATTTGCGATATAACTGATGAATTGGTGAATTCTTAGTGGGAAGACATCGACACTAGCAAGCATCAGTTTCCTTCGGAAATTTGGGAAATAAGACCTACGTGGGAAGTGATTCTGAAAATTCTCAGTACTTTACCAATCATCATAATTGGATCATTAGCCAATAGCGGTTTAATCTACGTGATAGTCAAGGAAAAGTCTCTGCGGACTACAACAAATCTCTTAATTGTGAATATGTGTATTGCAGATCTGGCCACTTGTTTGATATGTCCATGGATGTTTTTCTGCATAGACATATTTCAGAACTATATTTTGGGGGATATTGCTTGTCATTTGGATGGATTACTGGTGCATGCTCTAACTCTTGTAGCTGTTTTTAATTTGAGCGCAATCAGTTATGATCGCGTTTCGGCGATTGTCTTCAACTGTTCTGGAAAACTGACAAGAAGGTGGTATTATAAAATATCAATAGCATCAAAAGTTTATACAAAGGACGTGTATACATCGTTATACTTTTATGTTGAAGGACGACACGTATTTTACTATTTGCTACTTGGATTTCTGGTATAGTTGTTGCCCTTCCCTTAGCCTATTTTCGACGATATTATGAAAGGCAATGGAAAAATTATTTAGAAACATATTGCACTGAGGACACCGCGCTGGTCTATCCATACTGGCATATTTTTGCGGGTTTGAGTGTTTGGGCACCATTAGCCATTATGGCAATATGTTATTCAGCTATTCTTATCAAGGTATTAGTTTACATTCTTTTTGTGTCTAATATAAAACTATAATTTTGTACAATCTATTACAGTTAGATCGCTATGAATCACAAGCATTGAGGAGCAAATATCCTATTATAATAAAATACAAAGGAAGAGTAGCACAAATCCTGGCATTTATAGTTTTGGCATTCATCATATGTCGTGCACCGTTCACTGCTTTAATAATCAGAAGGGCACAATTACTAAAGGAAACACCTAAACCTGGACAAGCAGAAGCTATGTACCCACTCTGGTAAATATTTCTCTAAAGCTGTGGGGCACACGAGCGTAAAAACGACGTGCGTTGCAACGGACGTCGATTTCCCGACCGTTACAACTCCATTCACACAAGCGTTGCTACTTTTGCGTCAGTTGGCCAAGAAACGGCAGAAGATTTTGTAATAAAGACACACATATTTCATTCCACGTTGCAGATATTTTATTTTTATCTTTGCAGTCCCCCTTAGAGGTGTTCCATAATAACTCTCTTTTTTGGACTTCATTGATTAACAATTCTCCATCAACAATATTACCGGTCATTTTTGCGTAAGGCATGAAATTTAACGAAATAAGGCTAAATGTAGAACTATCACGATAGCCACCTAAGAAGTTCGACGCTCGTGTGGTCTGCTTCATTTGTTTCAAAACAAAGGAAAACGTGCCTCGACGTATCCCAACGAGCGTTCTAGCATAAATAGATACATAGGAACGTCGATGGAAAATCAACGCACGTTGCAACGGACGTTGAAAGCGACGCACGTTCGCAGTTTGTGGTCTCTAATATACAATAATGTATTTCTACAACGGACGTTGTAACGTCCGTCGCAACGCATGTCGTTTTAACGCTCGTATGCCCCCAACCTAAAACATGAAGTAGTATAAATCTATACATGTATACAGGGTTTTTGGCCACCACTGGGAAAAATTTTAATGAGGGATTCTAGAGGCCAAAATAAGACGAAAATCAAGAATACCAATTTGTTGATGGAGGCTTCGTTAAAAAGTTATTAACAATTATTATTTTCGGTTGCGGGGGTCAATTACAATCATTTTTGGTGAATACACATGCCCCCGAAATCCTATCTATTTTCGAGAAAAAAAATCGGGTAGGTGCAGAAATTTTTCGGCGAAAAAAGGTTTTCAAATCGTTCTGGAAAAATTATTTTCGGTTGCGGGGGTCAATTACAATCATTTTTGGTGAATAGACATACCCCCGAAATCCTACGCATTTTCGAGAAAAAAATCCAGTACGGGCGGAACTTTAAACGTTAATAACTTTTTAACAAATTGGTATTCTTGATTTTCGTCTTATTTTGACCTCTAAAATCCCCGATTAAAATTTTTCTCAAGAGTGACCGAACACCCTGTGTATAAAATGAAAGGTCTGACTCACTGACTCATCAACGCCCAGGCTAAGCCCTTGGACATAAAAAGCTGAGGTTTCCTTTATGATGTATACAAATAATAAGAAAGGATATTCCGAAACTCAACCCCTAAAGGGGTGGAAAGGGGTTGCAACGTTCGTATGAAGAATATTTTATTTGTGGTCGGATTTACTTGAAACTTGGTCTTAATGCTCTTTGACATAATTAATCACACTTATTCCGATTCTTTAAAAAATTCAACCTCTGAAGGGGCGAAAAGGGGTTGCAACGTTTGTATGGGACATATTTTGTTAGTGGTCGGATTTACCTGATACTTGGTCTAAATGCTTATTGATACACTTATTTCGCATTAATGTTGTCTTATTTCTGTAAATGGATCTAGAAACTTCAAATTTAACATGTAAGTACGTAATTATTATCTTATCACTAAACCGTTGGAATGGTGTAAATACGCCTAAATATCGGTATGGGTGTCGTTATAAAGGTCTTTTGAGACGTTAATTACGAAAATGGTATCAATTTTGAAATGTAAGATGGCGACATGACATAAAATTAAAACTCTATAGAGGTGAATGGGGGCTTAAAAGGTTTTATATTGAAACAATATCTATTTCCGAGGGAACTAAACGGTTTCCTGTACGAGCGAAGCCGTGGGCAAAAGCTAGTAATACTATAATTTGCATTGCAGGTATATTAGCAGATACCTGGTATTGGTTAATGCAGCAGTAAATCCTTTATTATATGGCTGTAGCAGTAGTTCTTTAAAAAAAGAATTAGCATTGTGCCCTGTTATATCTTGGCTTATCCGTAAAAAGATACAGGAGGAATTGAAACCATGTAGTGTTTCATTATTAAAATCGGACCGTTTTCATTGTTTAAGGCCACGATCTCCTTGTATACGAATTAACTATAGTGAAAGAAAAATACCAAACATTTCATCTACTATCCATATGCACAAATTTACATTCTAATACAATTTAATTTGATATTGTAACTACAATAGTATCAATAAACGAATGCATGATAAATAATTTATTACATAGTACAGCAAGAGCAGAATAAATATATTACGAAATATCTTCTAATAAATTTACAAGGCGTTTACTTTTAAGGGTGATTCTACAAGTCAGATTAAAAGAAACACCAAAAATAAAAAGATTATTTTAGTCTTCGTGTCTAAATTAATAATGCTGAAAATATGCTAAAAAATCAAAATTTCTTTGTTTCTTTTTCTTTACAGAATCAGATGGAGAAACTCAATAAATATTATTTTTTTAAATTATGGTTTAAAAAGTAATCATGAAAGGTGCAAAATATATTTTTCTATAACAATAAGTTTTTCAAAATTTTTGTTAATACACTACTTTCTTCATTGAAATGTAAAAATATCGCGAACACAATTTCGTTATTCTTCATTTTCGTCTTATTATAACTTGTAGAATCACCAACTAAAAAGATTACCATCTGTATGTAACCACTCTATATAAAATCTCTTGCAACAACGCGCTTATTTATTTTTGGGACTGTACTTACATTTGGGAAATACAAAACCGTAATGCTAACAATAAAGTAAAATAGAAAACATATATTTAAATATTAAGCACTTCTGTTTAAAATATTGAATTATCATCTGTCCTTTTACGAGTAAAAAATGAAAATGCTCAGATACCTGAATATTTGAAATGGATTATTTAATTGTTACGTTTTTAAGAGTGTCAGTTGTAAGTTTCCCACCGCTTGCAGTGAATAAAAGATTTCCGCTCCAAGATGCCTCTCCATTACCATTTACTACAAGATCAACCTGTATGAAAAATTAAATTTTAATGGATTATACGCGTGCAACTTTTGATTTCATAATACAAAAAGTAATAAAAGTACTTGTAATTTTTCCCACACTTTCTTCTTTGGATTAAGTACAGCATCTGGTGATCCATCTTCATATCCTTCCACAACAATTTTTTCGCCCGGAGTACTATCTACTGGGGGTCTCAATGGTTCAACTTGTTTTGTAGGTAAATCTCTATAATTAAAGTGAGATTAAAGAAAATGTATGATGCAATGAAAAAAAGCCATTAATTGAACTGAAACATACACTGATGCACATAGAACCATTCCATGAGACTGTATGCCTCTCAGATTTGCTGGTTTCAAGTTTGCTAGAATAACTACCATTCTATCTTTCATTTCTTCCAATGGTACATAATTTACAAGACCGCTGACTATTGTACGAGGCCCAGTAGATTCCCCTAAATCTATTTTTTCTACATAAAGTGAATCCGCATCAGGATGTTTTGATACTTCAACTATCTTCCCAACTCTAATGTCTAGCCGAGCTGGTGTTAATTCTTCTACAGCTTCTAAATGTTTAACACAAATTTCATATTGTTGTTTAACCTAATAAGTCGTCATTCAATTGTCTTATTTTATATTTTAAATATTACTTTGCTTTTGTGGAGGAGAATATGCGCGACTCGCCAAAGATTGTAACTTTGAATTTGCCTCAAATTCTTTTCTAATTGGACCCAAAAGTTTGTTAATGTAAACTTCAGTTGCATTTTTTAGATCCCCAGGATGAATTTCTTCTTTAGCGAATGCATTCTCCAAATCCTCGTATTTGTCAAACGATATATCTCCACCTACGCACGAATACTCATTGTTGATAAAACCTTATATTCCAATAAACTGGAGGAAATGTTGAAAGTTATACACACCAAATTCAGAAGTTCTTGGTACGTTAAAAGATTCTCCTTCTTTTAACAAACAATATATAACATGCTTGATAAATGAAAGAATTCCATTGTTGGTAACATTGCCAGGTTCACAAAATGCTTTCTTTAACTTCTTTTTAACTGCTGCAGGATTGTCTAAAAGATCAATCTTGGAGTCATCCTCGGAGGAGGACATTTTTGATCCCAGCAATCCAGGAACTAAAATAAAACATGTTTTTTATTGTTCTAGCTTTAATAGATATATTTTACTTTTAATATTTTGGCATTATTATATATACTCATTGGATTCATTAAATGGATGCGCTTTTCATATCCAAGCAGTGGCAAATACTTTTCTGAGAAAGTAAAGATTTTTCTTTGGTCTACACCACCAAATTGAGCATCAACCTTAAGGTACTCCTCATCCAAAGCTTGTAATCCTGGATATAATAATCCAGAGAGTAAAGGATTAGCAACTTGTTTAACTACTTCAGCACCAGCTTTTTTTGCATCGTGTTCAGTTACAACAGAAGTTAAACGATAAACATCCAACGTATATTCCCTTGAGCAAGAGATTAAATTTAATTAATACATCTTTTAATTTATTTAATATATTTGTAAGTGATTTCTTACTTGGACAATTGATAATCAGTTCCTGTAACAAACTTTAGTTTGTCTAAAGGTACATCAATAGACTTGAGCATTGCTTTGATAATTGCTTTGTAATACTGAGTACGAACTTCAAGAAGTTCCCAAGGTGCCTTCATGTTATCTAAGTATGCATGAAGATCAGCAAATAATATAGTAACTTCTGCTCCAGCTCTTAAAAAGTCTGCTATTTTGGACATTGGTGTAAAGTAGCCAATATGGGGTTTGCCAGTAGTCGCAGTACCCCAATAGATTTTTACATCTCGCTGCTTTAAAATACTTTTAAGTTTTTCATCACCAAGCCACTCAGCCAAATTTCTAGTGATGAGTTCATATTTTTCTTCCCACTTTAATTCTACCATTTTTGTCACTCTATTTAAACAGTTTATAAAATATTTAATAAGTAAAAAAACTCAATTCTTTAATCAAATGACACCAGTATGCCGACCACGTGTCTAACAAACTTGTCAAACGTATGGACATAACCACTTAATGCATAATCAGATTTATATCTTTATTTTTTCTTATTACAATATTTTAATAGCGGATAAAATCAATCTAATACTATGATCTTACAACAAACACAATTTTATTGTTACAAAACGGTTAAGACAAGTAAATATAAAATGATTCAATACGAACAAATGCTTTGGCAGCTATTGAGAATAAAGTGACTTAAAATTACGATTATAACAAATTATTACCGATAACTGTTTATCGGTAATATTAAATAGTTGAATATTCCAATGAAACTAATTACACTGTGTAATTTCGATTCGAATTCCAAAATTTCGTGTAGCGTGAAATCACACGGATCTGACGAATCGCAGGCATATGAATATGTCCTAAGGTACAATCGACCAGACTAATTTGTGCCGCCTAGTGAAGAGTAGTACACAAAGATGATACGTACCACGTATTGACATTAGTTCTTTTCAGGAACTGCAGTAACGACATCTATGAACATTTATTCTTATATTCGCTTTATAACTTTATATCAAGGTAAATACAACAGAGTACTTACATCATAGATGCCAGAAAAGCACCGCCGGGTGCACACGCACACATGCCAGATACGCGTACGTGAGCTCGTGGAGTTTCGGAAAGTCGACAAAGGCAAACTGACGCATGCCCTTTTTCTCGATTCTCCGAAGCTGCCCGAAGTAATTTCGGATCGCCTCGTGGGAGTCGAGAGAGAAAGGCTCACATTTGCCTTCTCGCTCTAAACAACTGAAATCCGACCTCCCGTCAACGGCATACGATTTGGATTCTCGAGCCGAGATTCTCGACTGCCCAGGCATTTTTACTTTCCGACCTATGTAGGCGCACATAAGCAAAGTACCCATAATGAAAAAAAAATTTTGTAAAATTTATTTTACGGAAATACACGTTTTAAGACCTCCTGATCATATTTTAATTATTGAAAAAAAGAAATTTTTTTTTATTCCCATGTATGAGCACACATATGTATATTATTAATACGATTGAATATAAATAGCTGAATGAATTTAAATGAAACTTTACATTTAAGTTTTATGTTCTCATTTCAAAGGCGTGTGGACGGATTCAAATACGTGAACACTAAACGTAACGATGTAATTATATTATTTAATATTTACTAACTATTTAACATAAAGAACATAAAAGAAAGACATAAAACGTAAACGTAAAACTGTGATTGCTCTCGACTAACGTTCGATACAGAGTGACGTTCCTGCAGTCAAAGTCGACCCTTCCTTATTCCTATCTTATAATAATGATCTAAACAAAACGCACGTTCGAGACGCAGTTTCTAAAACGTATTTCAGCTTAAACCTAAACACCTCACTCGATACCTACTCTAGCTTAGACTAAACACTCCTATCGACGCAAACGATAACGGTTCTCCTAGCCACACACATACACTCCTTACAGATTATACCTCTTGTTTCATAGTTGTTCCGATATATAGGCATAATGTATATAAAATCTTTTAAATGTTTCATATAAATCTTAGGACGAATTAAATGTTGCAGTAACTTTTATAAGACAGGGTCTTTAGATTTATTACGGCACACACCTTATTCGGAATTTCGTTACACTCTTGGAGTTACACCTGCTCTCGATTATGCTACGCTTATTCTTATCCACGCTGCTAGGCACGCCGCCTGTTTATATACATTCTCTCTCTCTCTCATTCACACTCGTCTCATTCACTCGTCTTCGCATTCGTACAATGTCGCGGGGTTTTCAAACAGTCCACAGTTCGGCCGTCCTGAGTCGATCAACGCCCTCGTTGCTGGATCATGGTTAATCGGTTTCTAATCCCATTTGGCGTCGTGTAACGGGACGTCGGTAATTCCCTGCCTTAGCTACCATTTTCATTCGGTCCGCTGAGATTATGCCACTGTATTCTCTGTTGCTCTGCTGTTCGCCTTCAATGTCGGCTACAAGATACCTGTCGTTGCCTAGAACCTTTTTAATTTCATAGGGCCCGCGGTATTTAGGGCTAAGTTTGCGACTTCCGCCGGTCGCTGTGGCCTCGCTTCGGATAAGAACGATATCTCCTTTGTCGTACAAACGCGCTTTTCTTTTATGTAAGTCATACTGTTCGCGCATACGATCGCGGTTCTCTTCCAGGAGTTCCGCAACGTTTCGACGCTCCACCTCGTTTCCTAAAGTTGAGTTAAGTTCTCTAATCTCGCGAATCAACGGGTTATCATTCGGTCCTGACACTTGATACGCCAATACGACCTCGAACGGGGTGCGTTGCGTGACCCTGTGGCGCGTGTTGTTTATTGCAAATTGTATTTCGTGTAGCCGGAGGTCCCAATCGTCGCAATCCACCCCTTTCGTGGTCGTCGCCAAGCAGTGCAATATTACCCTATTTAAACGCTCGATTTGACCATTCCCTCTTGGCGTCGCAGTTGCAATTTTTACGTGCGTTATTCGGAGTTCTTCGCAAAATTCTTCGAACGCCTTCGCGGTGAATGCGGTGCCACGATCCGAAATGACACGCTCGGGCCGTCCGTAGTGTGCCAACACTTCGCGCAAAAATTGTATCGCGTCGTTTGCGCCGCTGTCTTCTACTGCCTTCAGAACGGCGTATTTGCTAAAACCGCAGATTAGCGCAATGATATATCGGTTATTCGCTGTCGTAACTCTAAAAGGCCCTAAGTGATCTATGTGTACGCTATGGAAGGGTCGATCTCCCTTCGACAGTGGGTGTAGCAACCCTTCCTTTTTCCCTGTCGGCGTTTTATAATATAGACATGGAACGCATCTATTTACATAACGGGTTACAAAATCTCGCATGTGAGGGAAATAATATGTTTCTTCTAATTTCGCCAGTGTTTTGTCCACGCCGAGGTGTGCGACTGCACGGTGTGCATCGGATACTACATCAAATCTTACATCGGTTGGAACGTATAATCTCCAGATTCCTCGGGTGGTCTCGTATACGCGCGCCTTATACATAGTGAATTGCTTATGCGTTTTCTGATCCCCTGCTTCTAATTGGTCGCGGATTTTTAGAATGAGCGGATCCGCCCGTTGCATTGCCGCAACCCAGTCGGTGGTGATGTCAACCCCTAAAACGGGTAGTCCTGCTAGTGGTACGTCCTCGCCTGGTTCGACGGGGTTTCTACTGAGTGCGTCCGCGACAGAATTTTGTTCCCCCTTATGGTACTCGATTCGGTAATTGAATTCGGATAGCTTGAGAAACCATCTCGCGATTCGTGGGCTCATCTCGCGCTTGCCTTCTAATAGTTTTAGACTATTACAATCAGTGCGTATCACAAATTCAATACCGATTAAATATACCCGAAACCTTTCTAATGCGCAGACAATTGCTAGAGCTTCCAGCTCATACGAGTGGTATTTCGATTCTTCCGGCGTCGTCTTTCGACTATAATAACTTATTGGGTGCCATTTCCTGTCGGGTTGTTTCTGCAGTAATACCGCCCCGAGTCCTCCACTACTCGCGTCCGTTTGAACTTCGATCTCCGCAGTAGGATTATACATAGCTAAAACAGGCCTCGACAGAAGCCTTCGTTTTATTTCCCGGAACGCGGTGTCTTGGTCTGCTCCCCAGTTAAACGCCCTACCCTTTTTCAACAAATCTGTGATTGGATTCATAATAACGGCGAAATTTCTAATGAAACGTCTGAAGTAATTCGCTAAGCCTACGAAGCTCCTCACGGCTTTCACATCTCCCGGAGTAGGGAACGACTCAACGCTTCGGAGTTTTCTGCTACCCGGTCGTATCACGCCTGTCTGTATCTCGAATCCGAGGTATTCGAACTTGGTTTTCAAAAAGTGACATTTCTCTAGCTTTATTGTCAAATTCGCACTCCTCAGCGCCTCGAAAACCTGCCGTAGTCTCTCAAGCCCCTGCTCTATGTCTTTTGAAGGTATCACGATATCGTCGAGGTACGCCATGGCTACGCGGTATAATAATTTAGCTAAAACTACATAGATTAATCTCTGGAAAATAGCCGGGGCATTGCAAAGCCCGAAGGGCATACGCTTAAACTGGAAATGCCCATCCGGCGTGGTGAAGGCTGTTTTTTCGCGTGACTCTTTGCTCATTGGCACCTGAAAGTAACCGCTAAATAAATCTAAACTAGTATAATACATGTTTCCCTGAAGCTGATCCAGCTGATCGTCAATTCTCGGCAACGGATGCTTGTCTCGTACGGTGTTTTTATTTAAAGCGCGGTAGTCTATGCACATTCTGACTTCCCCGCTCGTCTTTCTTACCAAGAGTACCGGACTCGCGAATGGCGACGCGCTATCTTCGATGATATCCGCGTCCTTGAGTTCGGATATCGATCCCACTTCTGAAATTGTTGCAGTAACTTTTATAAGACAGGGTCTTTAGATTTATTACGGCACACACCTTATTCGGAATTTCGTTACACTCTTGGAGTTACACCTGCTCTCGATTATGCTACGCTTATTCTTATCCACGCTGCTAGGCACGCCGCCTGTTTATATACATTCTCTCTCTCTCTCATTCACACTCGTCTCATTCACTCGTCTTCGCATTCGTACAATGTCGCGGGGTTTTCAAACAGTCCACATAAATTTTATAAACTTTTTCTCTATCTTCTCTAGAAAAGAAAACATTAAATGAAATCTTATACATTACATGCTTACTTAAATCGCATTGAAAACGAATACTACAAATGTTTTAGAATAATGTGCAAAATGTGATTGCGATTTTCGCTAAGACAAATTGAAAACTCGTTTCTAACAAGGAAAAGTTGGAATGGTACCAGGTTTTGGGTTAGGTTTTACTTTGAGATATTATTAAAGTTATTACAGGTACTTATTTTCAGAAATAGAACTATGTTTACCACTAGTTAGCGTGTCGTGAGTGATGAGGTCTTTGCCTGCAAGTTCCGAACTTCTTCTGCTCTGCTGGTTCGAACCCTGCTTGAACTTTTTTTTTTATTTTTTCAATCATACTTTAATCGTACACTAAATATGACATTATATTTTTGTCTGACCTTCGAATATTTTTTTTTAAAGTTAAATTTAACCGATTACATTTAACATATGTTATTTTCAATGTACGAAGTACATGAATCTGGATGGTACTTTTCACAAAAACAGTCAAAACATAAAAATTTCAAGCACCACGTACATTTACTGAAAGTTTTGTTTTCACAGAAATTACAAAATTTTGTATTTAACTCTGATGGAAAGGCCGCTTCATTTACATTGATAAAATGTGAACGATTTTCGGATAGTCGTACCTTGTAGCTCGTACTTTTTACCTTATACTTCAGTTAAAAAGGGATATAGCTGGGAAAAACAGTTTTATGACATTACCTGCTAACTTATGTTAC